TGTTTCTCACACTACAAAAATAATGGGAACCAAATAATCACACCTAGTAGCTGCTTCACAGTGATACYGTATGTGGTCATGTGGTGGAGATCATTACCGCTTTATCATTCTGTGCTTGTCAAAAGTTGACATGAATTCAAAAAAGCTACTGAGCAAGCTTATCAATAAGCAGTCCAACAAGGCTAACTAAATGCAAGACTGCTCATTGAAAAAATGGAAACATCTATAGAAAATAACAGTGTATGTTTTCATGTATTGCCTTTCTTTTATTTGTTTAATATATCTTGACAATCAACAATTTTCATATTTTACCAGTTATGAGAATTTCCTTCCTTCAGCACAAGCAACTGATTCCTATTTCCAGCCAGTCCTTGTTACTAATCTCCATTGACTTTGCTAGATTTTCAAGGGAGCATCTTTGTGCCCTTGTATAGCTCTTTGTAACCCCAGCAYACTCCCCCCAAATACTTCCAAGCCTTTCTTAACTTACTTTCAAATACTGTCTTACTGGTAAAAGAGAAAAAACCCAAAAAACCAAATCGAAAAAATCAACCCCAAAAGCCTAAGTAGATGTGATCTGTACAGCAAACTACCTGGTAATCTTCCATTGCTTCCTTGTAYTCCTGCTTTTGTGACTACACTGCAAACTCCTTGGGAGACAGGATGTTTTTCTAAATTATCTCAAACAAATCAAGTTCTGATCCATTATTAAGACTACAAAGCACAATGATTGCAGATATAAAAGACCTGTTGGCATTTTGTGAGGGGTTATTGCTGTCCATAGTTTCATATTTAAGTGACCCAATTTCACASGTAAAGCCTGTGAAAAGCCACAGAAAAGAGACGTCCAAACATACTATCTTAAGGACATTTTCAAAGACACCAGAATGTGTTCAGGTGCTACCAACTTTCAAGCAGCTGTGAAGAAGAATGTAATGAATACAATTCTTTGTGCAGCCACACAAGGCTTCCAGTTGTCAGGATACTCACCTAGATTTTTCTTCCTCTGGTCTCTCTGCTTCATTTTCATCTACCATAAGAGGAAAGAAACACACTATTTAAGAATCAAATCCCCAGGGTATCAACTGTGACAGATACCTTGGCATGTAGAATATTAGGCAACTCTTCAAGTTACTATTGAGTCGTGTTCTTAACAATTCAATTTTGAAACCAGTCGAGCAGACCCCCTCWGCACTGACAGGTCCACCACATGGGCAAGGTTGAGTTTACATGTTTCGTTTACCATCTCAACGTAAAGATAGTCCTTTAAGTTGCAAAAAAAAGTTAATGCATAAAAGGTTAAGGCTTTTAATACTGAAGTATTTCAGTACTTCAGCGCCGGTAATCCGGGCAGGAGGACACCAGAGAGAGGCTCGGTCCCTCCAGGGGTGCCTTGGGGGGCAGGGACACCACGCGGGGCTCTCACCGCCGAGGCCCAGCACGCCTCGGCCTGCGCGGCCCAGGCTGTGGGGCCGCGGCAGMGGAGACCGGATAGGGGAAGGGGCCGGGAGCCGCCGCCACCGGGGGACTGGCCGGGAGGAGAGAGGGGGCTGCGTAGCCACGGGGGCGGCGGGACGGGGGGACCTTGCTGAGTGGCCCGGTGAGGCGGCGCACGCTGCGGCCTGCGCAGCCCCGCACGGCCCCCCCGCCTCGGCGGCGCCGGGCCGGCCCGCTGCGGAGGCGGGCTAGGCACGGGGGTCGGGGAAGGTCCGTACCGCCATAGAGCCACTCCTCCTCCTCGTCCCCGGCGGCCCCATCGGCGTCCGCCGACAGCCGCTCCGCCTCGCCGGTAGACATGGCCGCCTCCCGCGGGACGCGCGAGCCCGGCCCCGGCAGCGCCTCCCGCCGCCGGGCCGCCCCCCGCACCGCCCCCGGGCTCCCCCGGCGCCTCGGGCCGCGGCCGGGCGGTGCACGGGCGGGCGGCTGCGAGCGCCCAAACGCGGCCTCTCGCGAAGGATCTGCCGCCGCCGCCGCCGCCGCCCGGCGCTTCCCCTCCCCCCGCGTGAGTGACACGCACAGGAAGCGGGCCCGGCCCGGCCCCGCGGCGCCCCGGGCACGGGCTGCGGGGGGCGGCCCGGCCGGGCCCGGCCCCGGGCCTGCCCTTCCCGCCGAGCCAGCGGGGCACCGGCCGTGCGCTGCCACTCACCGCGCCTGTGCTTTCGCCGCGCACCCGAGGCGCGCTGCGAGAGCCGCCTTCCCTTCCTCTCGCTGTCCTGTGCTCTCGGTGGTCCTTGTGCTCTCCTGCGTCCCTGAGCGCCCGTCCGTCCCCTCAGCAGGGATCACCGGCAGCACGGCCATCCATGGAGAGCATCCTTGCCTRTCTCCAGAAGCAGGACTTGTCTAAACACACGTACACTCCAGTGCCGTGCATCTACTGGCGGCTGATGGCAGCTGCCGGGGGAGCATTAAGCACGGGGTAAACACGCCGCTGCTTCTACTAGTACTGTCCAGCTCTCGGCTCAGGGACTATCCCAGCTGGATGTACTTTTGTAGGTTTAACAACTCTTCATAGATTTTTTTTTCCTCCACAAGTTTCCTGATTTTATTTTTGGCTACAGTAAGTGTTCAACATTCATAGTGTGCTGTGAYTGTTTCTATGAATTTAATGAAGAAATTGATCAGTTTTAAAAGCGGTGGGAAGTAGTGAGCCATTTTTCCTGATGATTTTCTCACTTCACATCTGTGAATGCTAGACAATAACTGCAAGATTCATTAGAAAATTTGAGTACCAACATCTGTCCAAGTTTTCACCAGCTGTGTGCATAATTGAAGCTTGTGCTGTTTTAGGATGCATATGAAAACTAAAACAGCGACCAGATTTTTCACAGCAGGTCAGTTTGGGAAAAATCAGACTAGAGGACTTTACTGTAACATAAGCACAACTCTCAGTGGGGGGAGCTTATTTGAATTGCCTGCATAAAGAAGTTTATTTGAAAGTTTCATATATGGCATGACATTTCACTGCAGTTCACATGAACAACCAACCCACTCAAATTTTTCACCTAAAATTAATGTCTGAGTACTGTGTACAGGTAATGAATTATGTGCTGTAGTTGGGTAGGTTTCCCTCTTGCAATTCCATTTTTTTATACAACTAGTTGTGGAGTCAGCAAAAGAGTTTTTCACAGAAAACATTTCTAGTCACTTGTTTCTCACAGGTTGAATTTGTATATGTAGTTCCTATTAGTAGACRTCAGTGACGTATTTTCATTTCTGTTTAGTTTACTTTGCCATTTAGCATAATTCTGGCTGATATTAAATGACACAACAGAATTCTAATAGTTTCCTTTGCAAACACGAGGAAGAAGAAAGAAAACTATGTTTGAGGAAAACACAACAAATAGAAATCAAAAGCAGGCTAACAACATAAAATGTCTTCAAATACTTTGATGCTGATCCTTGAAGCAGTTTTCCTTGTGGAAACCCTTAAAGAGAAATCACACTGAGCGGTGGTGACATAAAAATCCACCTTGAACAGTTGTGGCCTGTAAAACCTGTTTTTTCTAAGGCTCTGAGCAGCTGAAAGGCCGAAGACAGAATGGATCTTTGGAAGCTGCATCTCCATCTTTACTCACAGGTTACATTCCAGAAACCCACAAAAACATACCAAGTCTATGGGAACCCTTTAGTACAGTTTTTKTCCTAACAACAATAGCTGTCAACTTGCACAAGGGGTAAAATAAGATGTAAAAACTACTTAGATAATTTTGTTTTGTAATTTAAACCATTAAACAGTGCTTTAAACTGATTAATCTGATTGTGTCTTCTGGTTAGTAATTCTTCTTTTTCAATGCTTGCATATGCAGATCTGGTTGCAATCTGTAGATTATTAATAAAGTAAAAAAAACTTTTTCTTAAAAAAGCATCTATGTTTTGACAGTAATGTCTGAAAAAAAACCCTCAACCTTTTAAAAGAGATCAACTCCACCATGTCTTTTTGATAGTTTTAAAGGTAAAGAACCCCTTTAAAATTGTTGACCAAGCCATAATTTATTTAGATTTTGTCCATGGCACTCAACTATAAAGCAAAAGCTCAAATATGTAATCTCTGAGGTAACTCAGTCTGAGAGTAGGATAATTCTACATGTTTATAAACTCAAGGGCCCAGTTGTTAACTATCCCCCATACTTTCTTAGCGTTCATGTTTCAAATCAAAATAGTTAAGAAGGGTATTAACTAATTTTTCTAGCATCATGAAGTTATGTGCCCTAAGATTAAAATAACTGATTGGCATTAGAACAGCACAAAGGTAGGGAAGAACACATCTGAGTAGGAATAGGAATGGAGCACACTGACAGGAAATGATTTAATTACTGGAAATCTGGTGGTTCTGCATTACTCTAATTTTTTCAGTGTTCTGAAACTAATTGAACCTGCAAGAGACCTAAGAACAGCAGTTAAGTTCTTTATCTCATTATTGATGCTGATAATCCTSCTATGTCAGAGGAGGTATCTTGCTCGCTGTGTGCTAAGGAGATTGCACAACTGAAGTAATGTGTAGAACACAGATTTGCAAGCGAGCCACCCATTCTCTGACGAGAAGAAACTGTACATGCTTGTTATAGCGGGTTTTTTTTTTTTCCAGGTAGCTTTTAAGCTGATTTACAGGTCAATAGCTTTTAAAGAGGGCAATGAAATTAAACTAATTTGTCATACAGTCTGCAACTGTACAGAGAAAAGTTCCATTTATTGAGCAAGAATACTCCTTGTTGCCAGCTCATCCACCAACGTATTCGTTAACAGCATCACAAGMAATACACAGTTGTAGGGCAGGGAGCAGGGACGCAAGTTGCGCCTCTCCGGTGCTGAACATTAGCAGTGCCGGGGAAGTAGCTGCTCCCGCAGCGTCACCAAGGCAGCGCGGCGGCACGGCCGGGACGGTGACAGAGCAGGGACTGGCGGCAGCCGCAGCGCTCCCCGGAGCCCCGCCCCGCCCCGCCCGCCCGCAGCCAACCCGCGCCCGCCTCGTCATCTCGCGGCGCCGGCAGCGCGCCCGGCACGTGCGGCGTGTTGTGGCTGTCACCGCCATGGCGGTGCYGGAGCAGCTGCGGGAGCTGAGCCGCCGGGCCTGGGAGCCCGCGCTGGCCCGGGCGCACCGCGCCGCCGTCCTCATGGACGCGGCCTCCGCCGAGGCGCTGCACTGGGCCGGCGGGGCGGGCGAGCTGCTGGCGGCCGGGGCGCTGGCTGTCAGCGCGCTGTCCGCCGACGCGGCGGTGCCGGCTGGGGCGGCCCGCGTCGTGATCGTGGTGAGCGGGACGCTGCGGGGCGGCACGGCGGCCGCGGTGCGCGGCGTGGTGGAGCAGGGCGCCGKGCGGCACTGCGTGCTGGTGTGCGGCGGCGAGGCGGAGGGCGGCGGAGCGGCCGAGCTGGAGGAGACCTTGCGGCGGTGGATGGGCGAGGACAGCTGCCCCGAGGTGGTGCTGCGGGGCCCGCCGCTCCTGGCGCCCGTCTCGGCGGAGCTTTTCTTGCTGCCCGCCCTGGCARCGCTCTTCCCGCCGCTCACCGGCCCCGGCGGCCCCGGCCCCGCAGAGGTGAGCCTTGGTGCGCTGCCCGCCGAGCTGCGGGCGGCCGTGCGGGCCCTGGTGGGAGACCTCGACTTCCTCTTCAGCGCCCTGGGCCTGCGAGAGGAGAGCTTCGCTGTGGGGGCCCTCAGCAGAGTCATCGCGTCTGAGCTGGCAAGCTATGCCCCAGCCAGAAACAGGAGGAGGACAGCCACCCACAAGGCCTCTGTCATCTTTGTGGACAGGACGTTAGACCTTGCTGGTAAGAAATCCACAGCTCCTCTGCGTTCTCGTTTCTAGTGGGCTCATACCCACCCCACTGAGAGGCTATCAGTTGTGGGAGCCCTGATGACCTGCTGGCAAAAATCCGTATTCCGCTTTGTACCATGCTTCTCCCATAGGTACATAGCTCTAGTTCCGGGTCCTGGATTGGATTGCCCTTCAGATCTGGTCTACTAGAATACGCTTGTAAAGTGGTTACCCGGCGGTAATGATAGGTCTCTGGGCTTCTTTTGAAGCCTAGAGAAACATGTCTGGGTTCAAAGCAGTAGTTACCCTAAGTTTGACAGTATCCTGYGCCAGTAGGAAATCTTGGTGTTCCAGCATTCTGCTGGTGATATCCAATGTTCTCCTTTYTGTTTGAAAACAGCTCTTACTATGTGGGATACGTGTACTGTAATCTTTTGTCCCGGTGTCAGTTACTGCGCTTCCTGGATTAAAAGCACGGCAGCTACCACTTCTCTCACGCATCCAGATCATCCTTTACTTGTGTTGTCCAGTTGTTTGGAACAGTACCTTACGGCTGCTTCCATGACCCCAAATGCTGTGCCAATACCCCTAGTGCAAGGTGCATCCTTTCATGCGCAAGTAGCCCAAATGGTTTGGTTAAGTGGTGGTCCCTGGTGGTCAGAGACCCCAAAGTCATCCTTAACCACCTGATGAACTGGTGCTGCTCTCCAAATTAAGAGAAAACTTGGTGTAACTGAGCTGGATACTTTCCAGTTCCTCTAGGTTCATGTTTAACATGCTCCTATATAGAGTAAGCATTRTGCAGTTCCATTCTGTAGGCTAGTGGTTTGAAGAGTAATCATTATATTAACCCACCAGGAGTACAAACAGTTCTTCATCTGGCAGCRCTGGGAGTATGTTTAACACCATGGCAATGATTGTTGTTTGCCCATCCTTGTGTCCCAGTGGGTCATAGAAATGAAGAGTAAAGCAGAAGGCTTTGCTGGAAATCTAAAGTTTTTTTCTMGCATTTCCATTTTGCAACAAACTAGAGACCTTAACTGTGCCTGTGTGCTATCCTGAGGAGTGAAGAAAATGTTTGTATGTTTCAGATTCAGTCTTATGGATTGCTTGAAGTATCCTGTGTATTTACTTGTCACTGTTATCTCTACATCTGTCTGAGCAGATAGACATATCTGTATAATGCTTAGCTATATCTATGTACCTGAAAATGTTTCTGTATGCGTATGTATTTATATAGGAGTGGCTTCATTTGCGGTCCCCATCACACATACCTCCTGCTGGCATACACAGAGTGTAGACCTGGTTCTGTTTGTAATCAGTAATTGAGCTCATACTTTTTTGCCAACACATGTCGTGGAGCAAGTACTTGTACTTGGCACAATGTTGCAGCTCATCTGTTTCTGAATTTTCCTCCATATTTTTTTCCTCCCATAACTTTGCCATTGTGTATCCTTGCACTGCTTTAGGGTTTATAGGTGTCAACAATGTGCTAAAGAGTGGCTATGGGATGTGGGAATTTGTGCTRTGCTGAGATTGGGAAGATGGATCAGAGGAAGACTGCAGGAGAGTGGACATGGATAAGGAGCCTYAAAATGAAATTGTGAGAAGTGTTGGTTTGGGCTGGGAACTGGGCAAAGATTTATACACTCAGACAGTGAGAAGAAATAAAAACAAGAAAAAGAACCAGATGTGGGGTGACAGGGAGACTCTTGTGGCCTGACAAGGAGACTCTTGAGGAGGTATGAAGAGAGATGATTGGTACCAGTTTAAACCTGGTAAAGGATGCGTAAAATCTTGTACTTCAGTAGGAGAAGTTTTTTGGATAGTATCAGGGCTGTAGTGACATAGTGTTGGAAGGAAACATCAACGCCCTTGGAGTAAGGATGAGAWGTTAAGGGATTTGGTTTTTTAAGAGTCTATTCTCAGTATCCATGATTGAGATTAAGATCCTTTCATGAAACCATACTTTTGTTACTAACAAATGTCTCCAGAATTCATTGACAATTTCAGTAAAGTACTCCTTTGCATTGGACATGATRCTGTTGATATCAAGTACCTGTGCAAACTGAAGGAAGAAAAATCCAGTGCATTTCAGAGGTAAAGCTCTGTATACACCTGATTTTAGTGCACTCRACGAGATTTGTTTCATTGGTTTGCTAAAAACTGTACAGTAAAAAATGTGTGACTCCCTCCCCCTCCCCATTTAAATTGTGAAATCGGTTTTAAAGAAAACGGAAATGGCATAATTAAGTTGTACTCAAGAGCTTCATTTTCTTAGGCACATTCAGCTTTTTATACACTTTCTTCCCTGACCCTGCCGCTCTGACTCCCCTTCTTGGCCTTCAGGTGAATGAGTATGTTGAGTTTCATTCAGTCTTACACTTTGTAAAAGCTAAGGCTTCCTATCAGTTTTCAGCTTGGTATTGGCAACTGGGCCARTGGTTCTTTTTTCAAGCTATGATAAGTATTTGCAGCCACCAGTGTAAAAGTAAATGATTTTTGTTTTCAAATGACACCTTGGTGCAGCTGAAACCTTTGAGGTAGACTTTCTCATTGGGAGCTCATTTGAAACAATTTTTTAAGTATTCCCTTTCTAAAGATGCAAAATTTTGGATTTGATTTGTGTTTTGTTGATATCTGAATCTTTCTCAGAGTGTGGGCTGCAGAATTGAGTGTTTCTTATGTGTCCATGAATTATGAGATTACTGTCATATTCCAAGCACTTCCACAACAACCTGAAAGTTCAYGAAGAGTAGATGCTGGGCTGCTTTCTGATTAAGTTAGGCTACTGCTTTGAACAGGGTGACTTTGAATCACAGAATAGAAGAATCACACAGACTTTGACTCTGAATAGAATATCAGAAGGCAAGTATTTTCTAACTTACAGGCCTGGATGGAGTACAGGTTAGATAATTTCTAAAGGAGTTGCAGTAACATGTCTTATTTGTTAGCTAATGTTCCATTCTTATCTAGAACCCTATTGAATACTTTTAATAATTTTTTTTGTGTTCAGCGTTGCTTATGGATGTTGTATTTAATGAATAAAGGGAAAAATGCTGAATTAAGATAATCAATTCTCCTTTTKGACCTGCATGATATAAAAATTAGCTGAGCTCTAACAGGGGGTCTTCTTTTTGTGACCTGTGTTGCCTTTACTGCAGTGGCATGGCTTCAGCTGGGGATGGCATGGATACTGCCTGTCCCTGTAGTGTGGGATCTTAAGGATAATCCAGTTCCCCAGAAGGTGGGTCATGTATTTTTATACCCTTGATGGGGGTGTTGCAGGTTTAGTACTTCATGCTCACTTCTTGAATTCTGATTGTATAAAACTTTGTTACTGATGTCCCRAATCTGTATGCATATTTAGTGATGCTTTTTGCCTACATATTGTTTTAATGTCCACTACTCTGCTTCAGAAAGCAGAATAAATCCTTCCAGCTAGCYGAGTACCCTGATATGTGATACTGGTTAAAAGTCAGAGCTAACTCTGGCACCTTAATTCCTCTTAATTTTTTCTTCCTCTAATATTTGCACCCTTAAATATTTGTGTTGTGGTATCATACTGTAACTCCATGCTCTTCCATATGTTTCTTGGTTACCACCTTGACAGCATTCACAYCTTTTACAAAGTAGTATTTTGCCATTTCCCAGGTTTCCATTTTCATTTGTTAAGCTTGTTGATATCTTTCACATGCTGGTGTTCAGGACAGCTTGACATGTTTCTTTTCCCACTCTTTCAAGCTTTCAGCATTTGGGATTTGGGCTGTCATAAGCACAGGATCTCGTCCACTGATATGTGTAGGTAATTTTGAAATTCAGTACCGTGAGCAAAAGACAGAAAAGAGTGAAAAGCAGGGGGTGCRTGTGCAGTTACTCTGTAGTTTTGAATAATAACCCTTGTACAGGTGTTCTTGAAGTTGGATATTTCAGTGCTGTCAGCAGCAACACTTTAGCATCGTTGCTTTTGTCTGTCAAAATCATAGGAATGTTTCCCAACAGCCAAGGCTGCAAACTTGGGTTTAAATTTGTGTATCACCTCCCTCGCTGCCAGCTAGGCATCATCTTTCCATCAGACCTTTGTGCTGGTTGTAATCTTTTCAGCATTGAGCAGATAAAAAAGGCAGTTAGGTGCTCATCAGTGAAGTGCAGGTACTATTCCCTGATCTATCTGTAAAGTAGGTAAAACAGCAGATGTTAAGAAATCCTGTTAATGAGGTGAAGATATGCCTTGCATACTGTTTTGCTGCACACCAACTTACATTTAAACACTCATGGAAGGAACAGCCCCCAGCAGAAATTAACTGCATTAGTTGGTGGCTAGTGCAGAACTGCTTTCTAAATAAAGCTCCTCATGTTTAGCAACTGACTTTAAAGTCTTCCCTTTGCCCMAGCTCTCATTTTCTTTCTGTGGCATGCAGTTGTTCCTTAAATGTGCGATTTTTTGTTTGGTTTTGGTTTTGTACCAAACAGTAGAGCTARTAGGAGAAAGTAAGAGTAGGAGTACAAGTGGTGTGACGCAGGAGTGGTAATGGGCTTAGGAAAATATTTTCTTGTATGCCTGTCTTTGATGCCTTTCTCAGGGAAGCAGGGGGTATAGTTAGTGAGTTCCTGGCTACTGCTGAAGAATTGGTTGGTTGACTTTGCAAATTGTGCCAGCTACAACTTGTATAAAATGTCACCTATTTCAGTTTGTAACTTCTAACTTAAAGAAAAAGTGAAATTAGAACAGCGTGATGCATAAGAGTTCTTGTATCCTGAAAGCTAGATGTTAGCCTGGCATGAAAACTCCTATTTTGCAGTGGTCAGATAACTTCTTGTTACTTGAATGCTYGATCTGTCTGTGCTTTGGCAGCATTAAAAACTATCACCTGACTTGAACAGTGTTGGTCATGRGAAGCTGCTGAGTAGCCTGTTGACTGTCTTCAGAAGTGGCGAGTAGAGAGGATCAAAACTAGTCCCATGCACCCTTCTGAAGTCACTGCAGTTCAAAAGTGACTCGCTGGTGATTTCCTRTCCTAGTGTTGAGGTTTAACTGTCTTTTCAGCCGTGGTTGATTTATGCAGTTGATCAGGGGTGACAGTGATTTTTAAAATCTTCAGTAGATCTTTTKTGATTGATTTGGTGAGGCAAAAGCCAGTAGCACCTCTGGACCAGTAGAAACATCCAAGAAGTAACAGTTATGGGAAAGAGACTGAGGTGGCACTACCTATTCATGGAAGCAGCTTGAGTACTCTTATTCTTCTCCCTGCCAAGATGAAAAGAAGGATGTTAATAATTAGTATGGGTTTATTTGCATTCAAGGCATTTCTAGTTTAGTCAAATATCTTGTCTAACTAAATGTTTCTTACAAGCAGCAAGTGTGGAGAGTACATAGGGGAGGAGTATCAGAAGATCACCGTCCATTTTCCCAACTTTGTGAGGGTTGCAATGTGCCTTACGTGTGACTGATCTAGTAAGAAGAATGTAGGGATTTTGGAGAACAAAATAGCTTAGGGAATCGCAAAGACAACCCAGCTCATTCTATCTGTGCTTCACTGGTCTAACTCTAGCTGGGAATAGTAGAAAAGAAGATTGCTGTCCTTTTGTAATTGTTGCAGTCTTTGGTGAAACAAATAGGTAGCAAACCAGCTGAATGGTCAGGTGTCCACACTGCAGTAYAACCCCGTGCTGGACACAAGTGCCTTCTTTGCTTACTGTGGATAAAGACATTGCTAGCATAGAGTTTGACTTCCCTTTCTTCTTCCTTCTTTGTCCTTGCTTCTCTTTTCAACTTCTGCAAAACAGAATAGTGGATAAACCCTGGAAAAACATGATTTACATCCTGGATACCTGGTTGCTGTAGAATCGCTAAGGACAGTCTTCTGCTTATCCAAGAGCACTTAATAATCYGCCCTCAGCAATGTTCTTGATGTAAGGGCCTTGTTTGGATTTATGGAGCAYATGAAGCTAATTCAGCTGTTGAAACAGAGCTTCTCTGTCTTTGGAAATGATGAAAAGATAATAGCAGATATCCACACAGACTTGGATGGAGTGGGACCATAGCCTGACAGAACCTTTTCCTGCCACTCAGTGGTGCTTTGAAAGTTCCTGTTTTTCTGTGATTAAAGCCAGGAGAGCAATAATAAGCTCAAYACTGCTGTCCAGCCCTGTGTTGATGGTTGAACCATAGCTTCAGTGGCAGAATACAAATACCTTCAACTTGTTCCTGACCTAAAGGCAATAGGGTTTCTGCTCCCTCTCTATTGACTTTTTATCTGTAGTATATGTCATGTTTTTCTGCTTTGACTTGGCTCACAGCCCTAATATTTTCTAAGTTGGATGTAGAGCCTATATTGAGAGTTCATGAATGGAAAGAAAAGCATGTGTGTTTGAAATCAAGAAAATAGAAGAAAACATGCCAGCTGGAGTTCACAGTTTCTCTTGGAATACAGTCAAATTGACATTTTATGCTCTGTGACTTGGATTGGTTTAGTTATTTCATGTTTGTTTCACCTGATCTGCCCTCAGTTCATATATAAGTGATCATCCTGATGGTGGCATGCCATTGGTAATTGTTTATTTTCATATTAGGCTGGTCTAATGGGTAGCTTTGGGTAGCTGTTTATGCAACTTGTATGCAGTCCTTTTAAGCACACCCTTACTAGTTKAGATAGGAAAGCATAGTGTGCATGTGAGTGTATATGTAAATATTTGCCTGGTTTTTTTAATAACCATTGCAAATATTATTTAACAACTGCCRTAGGCAAAGAAAAATGTTTTTCATGTGTAAGTGTAAAATCAGTGAATATTTCACAGCTGCAAAACTATGTCTAATTTGTGCTTCTTAAATTAAACTTCCTGAAATGTTGTGCTTTTAACTTCACACATTCTRTAAATTAATTTTATTTTTGTAGCAAAATGTTTTTTAAAAGCTAAGTGTGGTCTTGATGTTATTAGAACTAGTATCCTTCTTCCCAAAACGTGTGGTTATTATTTTCTTACAATTCCTTGTGTTCATTTGTTTTTCTAGTTATGCACCTGATAGTTTTTGCATCTTTTTTTTCCTTTTTCCTCAGGAGCAGTTGGTCATCATGGGGACAATCTTGCAGAGAAGATTCTTTCTGTGCTTCCCAAACTTCCTGGCCACAAGACTGATGTGATGGTTAACATGGTGGAACTTACAGCACTGCAGGCTACAGATGGAGCTTGCAGTATTATAGCACCTGGCTGCTTAGCACAACCAAAGTAAACATTCTTTTCTTCCTTTTTTTTTTTTTTTTTTTTTTTTTTTTTTTTTTTTTTTTTTAGATGTTAAATATGTTTGTTAGCTCTCTGTGAAAAAATGAACTGTGAACAAGACTTTTAAAAAACAAAAGAAAACAGTCAAGCTTACAACAATACTCCATCTGGTCGTAATTCTGCTGGAATGTAATAGTCTRTATGTGTGCATTAAGTGAGCAAGCCAAGTAAGACTTCCAAAAGTAGGASAATCTCAAGACCTTTTGCATTTGGGTTGTTTAAATTGCTGTAGATTRCTGTAGCAGAAATAAGTACAGGTTAAACACCAAGAATTCTCCTTGTGACATTTCTTTTTCTGCCTAAGTAACAGGTCATGCAAACAGGTAAGTCTTAATTGTGACATCCTTTTCCCATAAGCCTCTTTATAAAGGTAGCTGCATGCTRAATTTTTGTTAGAGTCCCTGTTAATTTAAGGTTTTATCCCTGTTTTGAAACACAGTACCTGTGGAGAAGGATAAGGTGGCACAAATCTATATATACAGACAGTTTTATGAGGGCCTGAGTTTTGCTTGAACAAGAACAACTTAAAAGCAGTAACTTCAGACAATGGTACTTAGCTATGTATATTGTGTAGCTAAGATTTTASAAGCAAGATTTTACAGATTTGATGTTTCACTTTCTAAATTTAGTTGTCTAAACCAAAACTTTCCTGCAGCTTCTGTTACAATGCAAAAAGAAAACATACCAGGTGCCAGTTTCACTCCACAAAACAAAAATTTCTCAGCAGTGCACTAGAAAATTACTGCAGTGCAAAGGAGATTAAAAGTTCTTTCTCTTTTACTGTAATGATCTCCTCATATATTAGAAAGTGTTTTTTTGAGATGGGCTATCTACTAGTTTCTATCTTTTTGACTTGTTTTGTGATTTCACACCTGCACTATATCCTTCTTCTTCCCTTCCCCCCAACAAAGATTTCACAGATTTCCGTGGTTGCCAACACATGGTCTTTATCTTCTGAGAGCCTCCAGATCCTTTGTCACCTTACATCTCCTGCATGTGCTATAACTAGTTTCTAGGTTTAGGGTCCAGTTTCTAGGTTTAGCATTGCATAYCTCTCTTCTTCCATAGAAGTTAGAAAGGAAACATTTCCTCCTAGAGGTGGACTCAGTTGCAACTTGCTGCCAGGGTGACTAGCTTTAATGTAATTTCTGATTTTCTTGTCACTGTCTGCTTTCCAGCTGATTCCTGAAGAAAAAGTGAGATGTCCTTAAAGATCTGCCTACACATCAAAATGAAGAGGTTGTTGTCCATGATAGAACTCTGTGGTAGCTGTTTGTGCTAACTTTGAGCAGCTACCATAAATAAGTTAATTCTGGCAGTGCAGACTAGGAAAAAGGTTGCTATTTACTGCTCTGAGATTGTTGTCTTGTGCTAACACTCCATTGTTTCTCACATTATTGACACTGAGGAGACTAAAGGTAGTACTGGTATGTCTTCCCATGGTTAAATTATGACTTCAGTCATGTATTCATGCTTTCAGGAACAGTGGACAGAGTTTTACCATGTTCTAAGGTGGCTAGTAGTATATATATACATCAAGATTTGTTTGCCTATTTGCTGGCTGATGGGAAGGTGCCCTCTGTTAACAATAGTTAGTCTTAAAGTATTTTGCAAATTCTCATGTGGACACAGCTGGTTAAAGAACAGCAGGATTTGGCTACAAGAATCAARTGTGGCAAAGTTGTATGACAGCCGCTGATACCTGGTACCAAAGCAGTGGTGCCATTAACACAACACCCTGTAGCAGCTTCTGCAAAATACCCTCCCTCTGCAAAGTCATGGTACAGAATTTGTTACAATGGAAATTTTTAGGAACAGATTAGGCAAATATTTTAAACAGTCTTAATCTTGCCTTGTAGCAGAACAAAKGGACTACATGACTTCTGAAAAATCTCTCTTGTGATCTGTTCTCAACTGAAGAAGAGTTGTGGGCCTTAGAAGAGTCTCCAAACTCCAAAGAATGTGACACTGTGATGTTCAACCTGTCTTTCACTTCTTTTCAACTGTATAATGATCAGGAATAGTTTCAGGTTTAAAATAGGCAATTCCAAACCAGCTTAAGACAGTTAATGAAGAGTGCTTGAAACCATAACAGTGGCTGAATGTGTGGCTGAAGTTGTGATACCCATTCCATTCAACAGGACTATTCTCAGTGTTGGATTATAAATGCCAACATTAATCATCTTTACTAGTGTAAATCGTTGTTTTTCTGAAGCACTGAAATGTATTAAAAATTCCCACCAGTATGTTTCTGTGTTAATTCCTTAAAAAAATCCTTAGGATGCTCTCAATTCCTCATCAACTTGGTTGTTRCCCTTGGTAGCTGGCTCAGAAGTTTTCTTGTAATTAAAAACTTAAGTCTTCATTTGYATTTGGTGCTGCATTTGTAAATGATGCACGACAAAGAGTGTTCCTCTGCTTGTAAATTTTCTCTTTGCTCTGATGAGTGAAGGTGCCAGCACTTACCCCAGAGACAGGACCAGTGACTTCAGTTACACCCATGTGTGGGGGCTCTTTCATATGAAATTTTGTGATCAAACTGTGGCATTTTAGACTCACATATTCAGAATATCTTTTAAATGTTTTCATTCTTTTCTGTCAAGTAATACTTGAGCATGCTGTAGTGAGGAGAGAGAGTGTCTGGTCCTTGCATGCAGCTTGCTATATTTAACTTCTCTTATGGAATGCCATTCCAGCAGAAACATCTGGGCTCAGTTACAGAGTTAGCAAACAGAATTAATGAATAATTTATGGTTGGTGTGGTGAAATAAAGCAGAKTTCTTTTCTCAAATCTAGGGAAATAATGGGCTTCTTTAAAGATTTAGATGAAAATGTAAATGCCATATGCTGCTTGAGTTACTGTACTTTGAAGGTGTTCTCTTTATGAGGAAGGGAATTGCTTTTAAAAAAACCCCAAACAGGGAATTGCTGTTCCAGTGTGGATGATAGTAGAGTTATGCTCTTTGAAAATTGTATCACAATATTTTKTTCATTTTTATATACAGATGGATGTACATAACAGAAGAGAAGCAGTTCATAGTTATTTAGCTAAAGAAATCCACTCTTGATCAGAACTGCTTTTTTTCTGATTCAGAAAAGCAGTAGCCACCCTGTCCTTTCAAACAAAGGATGCATAATAGAAGTGAAACTGTAGTGAAAATTTAGTGGTAGGGCTGATTTGAAAAAATTGATTTCAGTTCTCTTGCTGATCTGTGTATTTTGATAACCCATACAGTGTTTTTGGGGGAATTCATCCAAATTTCAGCTTCTGATTTTAAGGATACACGTAGTGGCTCCTGGGTGTTCTTTTTTGGATGAACATCAAACTCTGTGTGTTTAGAGCAATCCATCCTGTATATTTGATAACATTTGACCACATTGTTTCTCAAAGCACCCATCTTGTGTTTTAATATTTTTTTAGCATGTTGAAGCATCTTGTTGTCAGTAATTAGTTTTATCTTTATGGAGGTTTATCTTTTCCACTCTTGCAAACTGGGAGCTGAGGTGCATGAAGTCCTCATGGCTSTCTAAACCCCAAATGAGAGTTCAGATGCTGAATCCTCATCACAGCCTGGGGTATATGAGAAAAAGTAAAGATTCACCTGACATTGTGGGCAACCAAAGGAATATTTATGTTTGCTGTTTTTTCAATCTGCTTTTTCATTATTCAGGAATACTTTTGATGTGTTCCCATATTTTGCTGAATAAGTTGAATGTGTAATTTGCTTATGCACATTTCAAGAACTTGCTGAATAGTGATTTCTTGGCTGTTTTTTTCACTCTTACTTCTTTTCTCCAATGTTTGAAGTTTGCAGGCTTAGAATTAATTGTGATGTTAAAATTTTTAAAAGTCCAAATTTTTAATTTAAAGTATGTATGTATACAATATACAAAGAACCATTGGATTCTTTCAGAAAGCATTTTTCCATGAAGATGAAAAACTTTAATGTAATACAGTTCATRTTTGGGCTACTATGCCTAAAGCAATTCAATAAGCAATATAGCTGAGCTGTCTGGGCACTTTTGACAGAGCAGATGGAGCCACTAAATCATCTCTATTTATATTGGGGGAGAAATAACAAGTGGAGAATGAGGTGACCATGTTGATGGGTGTGATGCAGAAAGCATTGTTACGCAGGTCAAATGTTTGAATCCTTCAAAAGTATTTCTTTAGGTCTTTGTATGAGGAGTAGAAAGGTAGGTGTGTTGGGGGAGTGGGTTAAAAATTAGGACATTTCTGGAGATGGAATGATAAAATTCCAATGTCTCGTGYTAATGGCAGTTGAAAATACATACTTATCCCAATCCTTCATAGTTCTGAGGTTGTTACTTACATTTTGGTCTGCTGAGTTCTTTTTACGAATGCTGCCWTTGGATGGAGAAGAAAGACCCACTCCAGCTGCATCTTTGCATTTGGGTGTGATGTGATGATTCAGTGCTCCTCTGGTACTGGTGATGCTTGAACAACCCTGAATGGAAAGGAAGGCCATGAAGTGAGGGGACTTGTGCTCCAGTCCTGTTCTGTTGTCAGTTTGCAGTGTGATCTCTGGCAGGTCATTTAATTTCTTTCTGTGTCTGATAGCTCTTGTAGTCCTTGTCCAATGAACTTGTTTTCTAAACAAGTAAACCAGSGAGTTTCTTGGGATACAAGGTTGCAGACTGAAGGCAGAAAAGTCCTAGGGATTCTGATCTTTGGGGGTGCAAGAAGCAGTGCAAATGAATAYAAGGAGAGTTAAGGTGTCCAGGATCTCCATTTGTGCTTTCTTTCGTACTGTGTCCTTCCCACTCCTTCTAACAGTGCTTTGTTACCCTGGGGAGGGAAACAGTTTTGAGTTGTATTCCCCTGGCCCCGTTTCCTGGGAACTGATGAAACAGTTCCTGGGATCTCTGTGTAACACACACTGCAGTATTTGAACAATCACATGTATGATGCGAATTTCAAAGCA